ATTTGTGACAACATGGATGGACATTGAGGGTATAATGCAAAGTGAAATAAGTCAGAGGGAGAAGGTCAAATACCGTATGATTTCCTTCATTAAGTAGTAGATAATAACAACAATAAACAAACACATAGGGACAGAGATTGGATTGGTGGTTACCAGAGGGGAAGGGGGGAGGGAGGAGGGTGAAAGGGATAATTCGGTACGTGTGTGTGGTGATGGGTTGTAATTAGTATTTTGGTGGTGAACATGATGTAGTCCATGCAGAAATAGAAGTACAATGATGTACACCTGAAATTTTTACAATGTTATAAACCAACGTTACCGCAATAAACAAAAAATTAAAAAAAAAAAAAAAAAAAACAACAATGAGATACCACTACATACGTATTAGAATGGCTAAAGTCTGAAACATTGACAACATCAAATGTTGGTGAGGATGTGGAACAACAGAACTTCTCATATATTGCTGCTGGTAATGCAAAATCTTATAGCCACTTTGGTAGGCAGTTTGGCAGTTTCTTACAGAACTGAATATACTCTTGCTATACAATCCAGCAATTTTGATCCTTGGTATTTACCCAAAGGAGTTGAAAACTATGTCCATATGAAAACCTGCACACAGATGTTTATAGCAACTTTATTCATAATTGCCAAAACTTCTAAGCAATCAAGATGCCCTTCAGTAGGTGAATGGATCAATAAACTGTGGCACATCCAGTCAATGGAATATGATTCAGCACTAAAAAGAAATGAGCCATCAAGCCATGAAAAGACATGGAGGAAACTTAAATGCACATTACTAAGTGAAAGAAGCCAATTTGAAAAGGCTACATACTGTATGATTCCAACTATATGACATTCTGGAAAAGAGAAACTTGTGGAGACTAAAAATATCAGTGGCTGCTGGGCGGGGGATAAGGTGGAGGGACAGGGATGAATAGGTGGAGCACAGAGGCATTTCAGAGCCGTGAATATACTCTGTCTGATATTATAATGATTGATACATGTCATTAATTTTTACAAACCCATAGATTTTGCAACATCAAGAGTGAACTCTATTGTTTGATTTGTCAGTGTAGGTTCATCAACTGTAACAAATTCACCACTCTTGTGAGTGATGTTGACAATAGGAGAGGCTATCCATACATGCAGGCAGGGAGCATACGGGAAAACTCGGTCACATCCTCTCAATTTTGCTGTGAACCTTACACTGCTCTAAAAAATAAAGTCTCAAAAAAAAAAAAAAAAAGACCCATAGAAGTGAGCAAAAAGTGTTTGTATTTTTGTATCTCATATAAAATGGCCACAAGAGTGATAGTAGGGCCCAATCCTACTTCCACACCTTGGTTCCTACACTTGTGAATTCCGCACGTTGAGCCATACAATGTCCAGAACTAGTGTCTTAGTGTCCTACTAGTATGTGCCCACCTGCTATGTCACTATTAATCAAATATGAATGCCTGAAGGTTTATTTTGAACAATTGGAGAAAAGGGATGAATATCTCCAAAGATCCATTCATATTTTGAAGTCGTAATTACAAGAAGGTCATTTGATTACATAGGAATGGTTTCGGGCTATACGTTGAGGAGCTACAAATGTATTGCTATGGTAACTGGTAGGTACCAACTGTCTGAACTTGATTGTTCTGATGGTGGAGGAAACACCTTGGATGTACTTTAGTAAATTGGGAACAGTTTCTACACAGCTCTATGAGGAAATATTGTTCAGGAACATAAGTCTCATGTTCCTTTTTATTCTGGGAATCCTTTTCTTTCCCTTGGGGATCTGGGACTTCCTAGTGACAGAAGCTAATTTTTACTACCTTAGAGTCCACTTAAATCATATAGATAACTATGGGCTAAAAATGTTCTTATACAGAATATAAAAGAGAATGATTATCAGTTTTAGGATTACAATTAGTATCCTTGGGGCTTATAGTTATAGCTATAAGATCAAATGTTTCCTCTTCCATAAAATGATAGCAAAGAATAACTCAGATGCACTTACTTTAGTTTGAAAGTTTTCTAGAAATTGGCTGAAATATACAAGAAATAACAAACAGTAGACTATCATTGAAAAGGCAAAAACAGGATGCATACAGATAGAGGGGGAAGGGATACTAGAGAAAGTCAGGCTAAGCTGATTGACCAGAAAGCACCAAAGTGGTCAGACTGGACAGTGCCTAGGACAGGGCAACTGGGTCATTAAGGAAAATTCTGGAATATCTGAGACCTCCAAAACATTCATCTGTGGAGAATGTCTCTGTGTATTTTCCCAGTGTTTTTTCATTGGCACTTCTGACTTAGATAAGCCACGACTGCACCATTTCTCCCACTAGAATTGCTCAGGGTAAGTGACAGTTGAACCTCTCTCTTAAAGCAGTTGATTCAAGGAGTTAAAATACATAATATACTTAGAACATTGTCTGGTGTTTTGTAAGCCCTCGGTAAACATTGGTAATTTTATTTTTATTGTTTACAGACTCATGAACTTCAGCTGCTCACACATATATTGTTTCATTACCACTGTAGTTAATGACAACTCCACGTTGTTCAAACCAAAATGTAGGAATCCTTGACTCCTATCTGTCTCTCTCACTCCTCTCAATTTGTTAGCAATTCTTATTGGTTATAACTTACAGCTAAATACAGTATTCAACAAATTTTTACTACTTCCTCTGCAACCATCCTAGCCTGACCATCATTTCTCAACTGCACTATTGGCAATAGCTCCTAGATGGTCTCCTTGTTTCCACTCAGCCCCCTAATCTTTCAGTCGATTCTCAACACAACAGCCAGGGTAATCCCTTATAAAGCTGAATCATGTTACTCCTCTGCTAAAAAGCTTCTATGGGCTACACAAATAACTCACAGTAAAAATCGAATTACAAAGCTTAAAGGATCCACTACCCTTCTTAGCTCTAAAACGATCTCCTATTGCAATTCTACATGCTCACCCCCCTTCAGTCACTGTAGTCTCCTCTTGATCCTGGAACATAACTGGCACTGTCACATTTCAGAGCTTTGCTGTTGCTGTTTGCTCTCCCTGAAATGTTTTTCCTGCAAATAACCCCATGGCTCTGTTCCTTGCTGCCTTCAATTCTTTGTTCAAATATCACCTTCTTGGTGAGACTAGTGCTCATCACACTACTTAAAATGGCAACCTATCCTCCACATTCCTAATTTTTCACACTGTTGCTTTTCATAGCACTTAAACACCATGAAACTTACTTACATAGTGTGTTTATTTTCATCCTATCCCCACTACAATGTAAGCTCTACAACAGAAAAATATTTTGTCTGATTTGTTCATTTCTAGAAAGCTCCATAAACAGAGTAGACACAATATAAATACTTGACAAAAGAATGAATTACTTATATATACATGTAGCTTTGTCTTATCTGCAAATCAGTTCTTGCTGCTTGTGAAGCAAAAGATAACTCATTTTCATAACAGAATTAAGCAGGCATAGGTAGGCTATCCTCACAAAGAAAGTCTCATTTAGGAAAAAAATACATCCTGCATTGGTTTAGGGAATTTGGAAATGAGATTCAATACCCCGTGCTCCTCTGTTGGATTTTTGTGAGAGGCAAAAACAAATGTGAGGATAATAAAGCCAAAATTCTGCAATATGTTTATATTTTGGAAAACGATCACACACAATGTATAACTAGCAACTACATTAAAGACAAAACATTTTCAACTTCAATACTTTAAACAGTTGAAGCAACACTTACTTTTTGTAACTTTGAAAAATGATAACAAAAGGACAAAGAAAACCAAAGATTTTATTGCTATCTCATTTACATATACAGATATACACTATGAATTATTATTAAATTTCATATTAGCCATTTTTATGACTTTTTATTTATCTAAAACAACAGTGCACAAACCTTGATACTAACTCAACTGTAAGGGTCCACATGTGAATTTTATTCTAAAGACAAGTAGTATATCACATCACATTTGAGAATTCTTATTTTTTCAACTTGGTATCAGTAAATGAAGGAGTAAGAAGATATAAAATATAAAATGCAATATTATTCAGTCTTCTAATTGTAGTCTAAGATTGTTTCTCTTTTTAAGGATGAAGCATATAATATGTAATATCTTCCTTCAGAAAGAGAAAGTTTATGTATTTTGATATCACAGCAAGTCATTCATATCTCTTCAGATAGATAAGACTATACCATAAGATGTTGACTTGACAAAAATGAGAGTTGCTGTCAATTCCAGATACCAGGGGTTATGAGAGAAGAGTGAGGACAAGACATATACCTAAAGTAAGGCAATAAGTTGTGGAGATCATAACTCAGAGGTTTTAAAGTCGATGGCTTCTAGCAAAATAGGCACGGAATACAGTCCAAGCAGGGAACCAAAAAGGTGGAGGGACCATGGAAATCAAGGAAAGTTTGGAGGGTACCAGGGACAAGAGCCGTCACTGTATCAGTTAGCTTTTATTGCATAACAAACCATCCCAAAACTTAGTGGCTTAAACAACAATTACTTGTTTATATGTCAATTCTATTGTTGGCTATTTGGGCTGCAACTGTGCTCAGTTGGATGTTGCTTCTGGTCTGGGCTAGGTTCTACTGATCTCAATATAGGCTCACTCATTCCTCTGTAATCACCTACCAACTCATCTGGGACCTGGTTGTTTATTAGTTGGAGCATCTTGGTTCTCCTCCATGTGGCCCCCATGCTCATGTAGCCTAGCTTGGAACTCTCAAGCTAGGTTGCTAGCAAGAGCAGCAGGAACATAGTCTACCTAGGCTTGGAACTCTCACAACATCACTTTCACTGAATCTAGTTGTCAAAGTAAGTCACATATTCGGCTCAGACTCAATGAGTGGGGACATAAACTCCACACTTTCAAGCAGGGGATGCAAAGTATCATGGTCATTTTTTAAATCTACCACAGTCACCTACACATTTTTTCAAGGAGATATCTCTGGAAGAATCACTAGGAAGATTAAGAATATGAGTGGGTCACTGTTACTTGGCAAAAATAATCCCCCTCTTGTAAAGTATTCCCAAGGCCAATTTCATGTCTCTGTTCCTCAGGCTATAGATAAAGGGGTTTAACATGGGTGTCACCACTGTATGCATAACTGAAGCAATTATGTCTTTGACTTTGGAGTTATTTGATGAAGGAAAGAAGTAAATAATTGCAAGAGTCCCATAGTACAAAAACACCACAAAGAGGTGGGAGCCACAGGTGGACAAGGCTTTGCAGATCCTCTTGATGGAGGGGACCCTCAGGATGCTGACTCCAATGCGGATATAAGAGCCCAAAATAGCACTCAATGTCAGGAAGGCAAACACTCCCCCCTCAGTGAAGATAACTAGCTCATTGAAGGAGGTGTCTGAGCAGGTCAACTTCAAGAGGGCTGTGAGATCACAGAAGAAATGGGGGATGGCATTGTCAGCACAGAAGGAGAGGCAGGACAGAAGGAGAGTATGCAACAGGGCATGGGCACAAGAGAAGAACCACGATCCAGCCACCAATAAGATGCATAGCTCCTTCCTCATGATGGTGGTATAGTGGAGTGGGTGACATATAGCCACATACCTATCGTATGCCATCACTTCAAGAAGGAAATTGTCAAGACAAACAAAAAGTATGAAAAAATACACCTGGGAAATGCACCCCACATAGGAGATGAGTAAGTGCTGAGTCTGCATGTTCATGAGCATCTTTGGGACAGTGACAGATGAGAAAGAGACATCAGAGAAGGCCAAGTGGCTGAGGAAGAAGTACATGGGGGTGTGGAGGCGAGAGTCCAGCCTGATGAGCAGGATGATGAGCAGGTTCCCCAGCACCGTGGTCAGGTACATGCCCAGGAACAGGGCAAAGAACATGCCCTGATGCTCTGGCTGGGTGGGGAGCCCCAGGAGGAGGAACTGGGACACGCTGCTCTGGTTCTCCCTTCTCATGCTACTTTTTTCTCTGCTGGGAATGAAGAATGGTTGAGAGACTAAAGACTCTGAAGTAATCATGTTTAGCAGTCATATGAAAAATACGTATGTTTTATTTCAAAAAGTGGGAAACTTAAGTTGTTTCTCATATGTGCCTTATATGTTGGTACATCAGGGAATTAGAAAAATTGTCGATGAGGGAATGTTAATGAGAGCCAGCTTTTCTTAGTTCACTGACAAAATGGAATTCTTGCATCTGTGCAATTCATGCACATTTCCGTCATCTCAGAATGGCCACTCTTAATATTTTTGGGCATTTTATTTAAGTTTTTCTAGCCGAGTATTATGAATAGTGAATAATGAATTCACAATAAATTCAGTAACAATGAATTTCCTGTGAAGATCATTCTGTGCTAAAAACATGTCATCAAATAATTGGAAAGCCCACACAATAATCCATCATATCAATATAGCATAATTTAATTGACCAAGCCCCAATGACTAAAATTTGGGTAGTTTTGGTTTCTCTTATGAGTAATATCATTATACATAAATTCTTGACAATATTTTTTACAATTTCCTTGATTCAATGCCTGGAAGTTAAACAGTACGTTATAGGGTACAAATATTTTTAGTGCTCATGATGTATATTATCAACTTATTTCCTCGAAGTCTACGCCAATTTATATTCCCACTACCAGTAACATTTGAGAGTAACTCCCTCACCTATCTCTATACATCTCTATGCATCAATTACTTATACATATACATCTCTACACATCAATCATAATATCTAACAGTGTAGTAAAATATAAATTTGGGACAGTATTATTTCCAAAAGTCTTTACATTATTATTCTGCACAATGAAAGAACTATTTCTAGTCTCAGAATTTTATTAGTTGTAGTTAGCTATTTATATACCACAGAGTTTAGGGGGATTCTTAGATATGACATAAATATCTAGATTTTCATTAATAAAATAAATACTTTTCCTAATGAATACATATTAAAGTTTTATTATACATTTTATAAAGGTTAAATAAAGCACATATAATCTGGGAAAAATGTAAAGTGATTTTTATTTAGGGATTCCTCATTTAGAATTTATATCTTCTCATTTCCAACTCATTCCTTCTGCCTAAACTATATCCCCTTTATTTTCTGAGTCTTCTAAGGGGCAGAGGTGGTTGAGAACATGAGAAAATGAGAAATGGAGGAGGTAAAATCATACTGTATTCAGCTGTATTTCTGTGTCTAATTTTTCTGGACTCAGAAATTTCACCATAAATATCCTATCTTTGAGATTCACTTTGTTTAAAAAGTTCACCTTTGAAAATGCGAATGGTAATGTGGAAGAATGAAGGTTATTCACAAGTAGAGTGCCTGTCTTTTAAGGGATATTATCATATTTAGCTGAGTGCTCCAGGAATGGGTGTTTTGACTGGGATCACTAGGATAGTCTATTGATACGGGGCAGAGAGCAGACTGAATAGACAGTAAAGAGCATGATGTATCTAGGAGACTGGAGGCCAGGGTTGGGAGTAGTAGAAGTAGCAAGCTAGTTCAGAAAAATGAGAGTATTACTGACAAACACAGAACTTGTTTTTTCTGATGTTTGTTTGGTACTAGAAACTACAGTAGTAGATTGCTGTGGTCAGGGCCAAGTAACCTAATTCAAGGCCAGGATGGTCTAGTCTGGTTTCCCCAGTTGTCTCATTATTCCCAACCTCTTCTACAAGGAGAAGAGACAGAGGGTAGAAAGGAGGCTGGCCAAAGGGAAGTGCATACAGATGCAATCTTCTTCCTTTAAAATCTTCTTCCTTTAAAAACAAGACCTAGGGGCCGGCCCGGTGGCACAGGTGGTGAAGTGTGCGTGCTCCGCCTTGGTCACCTGGGGTTCGCAGGTTTGGATCCCAGGAGCACACAGACGCATTGCTCATCAAGCCATGCTGTGGCGGCGTCCCATATAAAGTAGAGGAAGATGGGCATGGATATATTAGCTCAGGGCCAATCTTTCTCAAGAAAAAAGAGGAGGATTGGCACCGGATGTTAGCTCAGGGCTAGTCCTCCTCACAAAACACACACACACACACACACACACACAAAAAAAAAAAACAAAAACAAGATCTATTGTACAATACATCCAAAAGTCAAACCCTTCTTTTTTAAAAACTTGGTCCAGGATGAACTTGATCTTGAGACCTCAGAGAGCTGTACATAGGTGCATCCTTATCTCTCTGGGATGACTTTCTAATCATTGGAATATTTTTTGTGCCAATCCCCAAATTTCATTTCCTCGTCCTAAATATATCTACATATTTTGAAACAGGTAGAACAACAACTTCCACCAGACTACTTTTCATCAAATTGTTGCCCTTAAATTTCCAGCACACTTGATTTATCATTTTGTGTTTTAGGGAATATTTTATGAAAGAACTCAGAGAATGAATTGTGTACTTTGTATAAAATTGGCACATGGTAGGCACACATAAATATTGGCTCTGTTTTACCTATCCATTACAATAACACAAAGGAAAACTTTCAAAATAAAGAAAATGTTAAGGAAATACCACAAGATATATATTAATTTAATTCTTTATCTCCCATTATAATCATTCTGTATTTTTCATGATCTCCACAATGTGGTATAGCGGAAAGACAAATGAGCATCAGAATCAAATGTACCAGGTTTGGGGAAGTTATTTAGCATTCTGAGTCATAGTTTTCACAATTTTACCTCAAAGAACTCATGTAAATAACAATGAGGAGCATAGTAGATGCTCAATAACTGTTTGTATTCTCATCCCTTCACTTTGTCCCATGGCCCCCAAGGGCAGAATTACTTGGCTCCAGAGCATACATCATATACCTTAGTTCACTCTGGCTAATATTCTGGTTTTAGAGATGAGGAGGGAGGAATGGCATCCTGCTTTTAGTAATGGTTGCTTCACTGGGATCAGGAGAGAGACTGAGGCAGAACATCTCAATCCACAGCCAAGTAAAGGAGTGGAAATACCCTTTTTCTTACTTAGAGTTACCTGATAACATTCTCTTAAAATGAGTCTGCTAGTGGTAGAATCATTGAAATGGTGGAGAGCAGAGGCTGATCAAGATACCAGGATCAGGCATCACCGTCATGGTAAGAAGAATGTTTTCCCAAAGCCAAATACTTTACCCAAAGCCTCCGTCATGTCTCTGTTCCTCAAGCTATAGATAAATGGGTTTAGCGTGGGAATAATCACCATATAGAGAATGGAAGCCCTACTTTCCCTCTCTGCAGAGTGAGTTAATGGTGGAAATATATACACACCCATAAGAGACCCACAGAGGAGCAGGACCATGGTGAAGTGAAAACCATAGGTGGAAAAGGCCTTCCACAGCCCTCCAAGAGATAAGATGCCAAACATAGCCCATGAAATGCAGATATAGGAGAGGACAATCAACATGAGTGGAACAATGAGGAACTTCAGGCCCATGGTGATGATCATCAGTTTGTTAACATGGGTATCTGAATAGGCAAGATTCAGTGGAACACTGGGATCACAGTATAAGTGGGGGATGGCCTTGTGAGCATGGAAGGCCACATGGACCAGCAACAGTGTGTGCCTCAGGGCACAAAACTTGGTTACCACCCAGAACATGCCTAGAATTAGTGCACAGAGTTGGGGATTCATAGTTGTGCTGTAATGGAGTCACTGGTGGGTGGTCACACAAAGGTCATATACCATCACTGCTAGAAGGCAGTTGTCAAGGCCACCAAACATAAGGAGGAAATACAGCTATGCAAGGCACCCAGCATATGAGATGATCTGACTCTGGGTGTGAACGTTGGCCACCATTTTGGGGATTGAGGCAGAAGTGAAACAGGCATCCGTTAATGATAGGTCAGCCAGAAAAAAGTACATGGGAGTGTGGAGGTGTGGGTCAGAGCTGATGGCCAGGATGAGGAGCAGGTTCCCCATCATGGTGACCAGGTACATGCCCAGGAAGATGCCAAATAGGAGAGGCTGCTCCTCTGGCGGCTCAGAGAGTCCTAGAAGGAGGAAGTCTGAAACAGCAGTTTGGCTCACTCTGCTTAGTTTTCCCATCCTTGTTATTCTCATTATCCATGCAGATAAAACCCTTCCATGTGTAAGTATTTAATTATTAAGTCAATTCACAGATATGTGTCAGTATAGCTAGAAATAGGCTGGAAAAAACAACAACAACAACAAAGAAACGGAGAATAAATAGACCATGCCAATGAGAATCTCTGGATCTCATTGGGAAAGAAAGACAATACCCATGGGACCTATAGAGAACAGTCCTGATAATATCCATTCAAATAGAAATTGTGTTTTCTGTGCTTTAATAGTTTCCAAAGAAAAGAGATGAGTTTGACCAGAGACGTCACATTCAGTGTAGGCTATTGGGGGATGAGAATTGAGCATATCCTTGAAGGCAGGATTAGAAAAGTCGTTGATGCTTACCAATTGGAAAGGAGATGCATGATCTCCATCACTGCCCCTCCCGCAACACACACACACACACACACACACACACACGATAGCCTTCTGTGTGGGGTCTGAAAATGACTTTGAAGGAGAAGATAGCCTTTTCTCTACTTGCCTCCTCAATCCTAGAACTTGACCTCACACATTCAGCCCCAGTCCATGTACTCTTCCCTAACTGGGGGCATAAGACGTGTAGACTGAGGGCAGTGAGTGTCTGTGATGTCCCATTCTCTCCACCTACTGTTAGGTCCTCCCCTCCACGAACAGGACAGAGGCCCATGCCCATCCCTCCATCATTCTCTCTCCTTTATCCTTGTCCACTCTCCTCTTGATACTTTGCACCTGTATTCACTGTGGGAACTGGTATTTCAGTCCCCCTCGTCTCTTGGACATCAGGATTAATACCTATTTGTAGAGGTTTGTTAAATGCCAGACACCAAGATGGTATTGTTTTATTCTCCACAAGACTATGAAGTAGGTATTAGTATCCTCCACAGTTTTACAAATGGTGAAACTGAGTGTCA